AAAAAAAAAGAGAGGATATTTTTGCAAGTTGCTTGAAGGCTTATACTCACTTGTTCTAAGACCGATTCGCCACGAATATTCAAGCACTACAAGAAAAAAGGGATACGATAGCTCATGAAAAATGCCATAAAAAACTTTTTATAGCGTTTTGGAGAGTCGTGACAGTCGATGCTATTAAAAGTCCATGACTTTTGATACCGTTGTTCAAAAGCTATAACTGACGCTATAATAAATGAAGATATTATTACATATTTACGTTGCTATGTTAACATTTAATAGCGTTTTAGTTTAACGCTATTATATCTATTGATAGCTCTTTTTTTGTGCTATCTTAAACTTAGAATAGCTATTTTTCTTAACTATTATGTGGTATATACAACTAAAGAATTGTGCTATCATAAACATGTAATTGCTTTTTTCTCACGCTATAAATTAAAATAGTCATTATAACTCAAAGTTCATGCTATCTTAAACTTATAATAGCTTTTATTATAGTATGTAAATAGTATTTATATTATATTATTAAAAATATCGATATTTTATTTCCAATTGAAACAATTATTATGATCAACTATTTTTATGCCATTTAACTTTTGCTGTGTAAAATTTATATAGTTTGATCAAGTTGGCTTAAAAACATACAAAAAATATTATATGGTTTATTAAATACATCATCACATCCCTTTTATAAATGAAGTTTTCATAATCCATTACATTACAAATAAAGTATTCAATAGTAAAAACAAAATTACATAAATCCACTAATAGTAATTTCTACCTAAACGAGAGTTCATAGGTAGAATTACAAAATTCACCAAGTTTGGTAGAATAAAGCAACGTGGAGCACAAAATGAGTTGTGTCATCTTTGATCCATTTGCTTCGATATGATTTTCTATTCACCTACAAGAACATTTAGAAAAAAAGAGAAAATAATTATGCAAATACCGAGAGTAAAACTAAATAACAATATTCCTTAGTAACAAACTATCCACGAAAACAACAAAAAATCTCTAACTACATTTATGAAACTTATATTAAAAAAACGAAGTGTTATAACCTAAAAAGGACCTAATAGAGAACTCCATAAGCAGCATATGCACAACAAATGAATGTCCATGGTGGGGGAGGGGTAGTAATCAAAATGCAAACTATTTTCAACTCTATCCATCATCAAACTTATATTAAAATTATAAGAGTGACCTTGTGGTCTTCTTCTCTATGAAGCTGGTAGCCCGCAGGAAGAAGAAAGCAACGAAAATGGTGGTGGATAACTCTCTCTCGGTTTGCTCGTGTAACGCCTGATTGAAGATTGTAAAAACCCAAAATCAAGAAATTATCCAATACAGATCTCTAAAAATTAAAACCCATATGCCAAACTTGTTAATTTCAGCTGGGTTCCCTTTGGTCTCCTAAATTTCAGATGCAGAATGGCAAATCCAAACCCAAAACCCATAAATAAAATCGAATAAACGGGAGAAGAAAGGAGCAACACTTGAATATAGAATCACTACTGTTGGGTTGTCCACAGAGAGCGTCGTCGCCGCCATAGATAGTCACCTTCGCCACTGGAGATGGCCGCCGGCGCCACAGATGAGAGGAGAACTCGTACGAATGATTTTGGGAGATTAGAGAGGGAGAACGATTTTAGCCGACCTAAATGTGAAAATGGAGGAAAATGTGAAACTGTTACCATTTTGATGTTCTCTCTTTTTTTTTTGTTAATATAAATTTAATGTTATAATAAAAAACTAAAAAAAAATGTTATTTGGTGGTGTATCTAACTAAAAGTTAATAATATTTTAAATAAAAATAAAAAAATTAATTTTAAAGAAAGAAAATGTGCCAATTAAAATGGAAAAGAAAAGTACATGGAGAAGTTTAAACAAAATTTAAATACTAAGACAGATAATTTACCATTAAAGAAGAGAGGAGATTGAAAGATGTGTTTGGGAGGGAAGAGAGTCGTGTTTGCGAGAGATGAAATCGCATAGAGAAAGTTTGGTGGACGACTGCTCCAAGAAACTCTAAGTAAAAATAAGTAATAGAATAAAATTGGTCCGGTTCCATTGAACCGGTTATTATGTTTAAAACTCCAACAAATCAGATGGAATTGATTGGTTCTTGACATTCCTAACACGATCCAAATCAACTTTAACATTTCATGGCACATGTTGGTTGGAAGAGAAGGGTTACACGTGGCAATCATTGACAAGCTTCAAGTTCATCATCTCGGTCATACATTCCTCGACCGAACCGACGTCTTGCGTGGCCGAGCCGATCTAATTTCATAGAAAAGCACTCCTTGTTGTTTGCTGATCTGATTATCACTATCTCGGCTCAGCTCCAATCTCCAACAGACTCCACAACAACACGTCGTGATTCACGGCCACCTTAAAGAGTCGTTGAGGCACTGTCGGGAATATTGTCGGGGAAGTCTCGTATAAATAGACCTCACTCACTCCGTTTTCATGTACGTGAATACTAGATTTTATATCGAGTTTAGTTCGGCCAGCTACTGACTTTAGCATCGAAGTGTATTCTATTTTGCAGGTCACTTGTCCAGCTCATCCTTTGAGTAGCTCTCAGTCTAGACCGAGGTTCGCAGTGTTGATCATTTTTCTGATCAAACAAGAGTCGTGTTTCCGAGAGATGAAATCACGTGGAGAAAGTGATTACTATATTAATATTATACTTTAACATTCCATAAAATTAGCTTATTTTGTTGGTGTTTGTGTGTCCATAAGTCTCACTCGTCTTGAGTTCAATTCAAACACATAACTAAATATGTTATCATTTATATATTATATATATTTTTTTCATTTTATTGAGAAAAATTATGACTTGTTTCTATTCATATTAATATTCTTAAAAATTTGGACAAGAATCTAATGAAAAATAAAACAAATTTTCCAAACTAAGATTTAATTAAAAAATTTCTATCTAAAATTCAAAATTTTACGTTATAAAAAATTTAAAGGTTCATGAACCTAATTAGTTCCAATTTAAACCCAAATTAATTCCTAAACATTCGATTTAGTTGACTACTTTTCATTCCAATTTAAAAAAAAATAATCAGGGTATAATTTAAATATGAATATTTTATTTACGGAATGCTTGGTTAAACTAGAATTAACTTATATTATTTTTATAAAAATATAATAATTCCTAAGCATTCGATTAACAATACATTTCTTTTGTCGACACGTGGCCGGCGATAAATAGTCTCCAACTAACCTAACAAGTTCCAATTTAAACCCAAAATCATTCCTTAGCATTCGATTAAGTTGACTACCTTTCATTCCAATAAAAAAACTCAAGTATAATTTAAATATGAATATTTTGTTTACGAAATGTTTGGTGAAACTAAAATAAACTTATATTATTTTTATAAAAATATAATAATAGAGGGTTGAAAAAATAATTTAAATTCATAGGGCTCAAACTAGGAACCGAACAAAGGAAGGGCACAATTACGCCGGATAAGCATACCACTATACCAAATACCATTTTCTACTTGTTTCATAGAGTATTTGGTGAAATATATTAAGCATAGATCTATACTCGATGCGACCGGACAATCCCGAAATAATTAATATCATTAATAAAGCTTCAGTTTTTCCGACAGAAATGAAATGCGCTCAAAATCATTTATGACATTTTTTGTATGTCATACATTCTCAAGATGGTCTAGGTAATTGTCATCGAATACCTGAAATTTTTTTATTTTTCTTGACAATTATAAAATGTCATAAAGCATGAAATTTTTCATAAATTGCCATTTTTTTCCGCCAAAATCGAGCCTCCACCATTCAGTGACAGTTTTTCACTGTCATTGAAAATTCGGTTTTTGTGACAATTTCTAAGTGTCATAAAACTTACAAAATCCGAAAAATAGCGTTTTTCCCCCCAAAAACGCGCCCCTATCATTTATGACAGTTTTTTTTCGTCCAAACTTAGGGTGTTATAACCAAAAACACCTGATAGAGAACTTCGTAAGGACAAAAGTTGGGTGTAACTAATGAATAACTCAAAATGTCAACCAAATTCCCACCAAGACTACAAATAAGATTACAATATGTATCAAAACGTCACAAACTAAAAAAAAAAAAAATTAGAAAAAAAACTCTAAATATCTTCAACTTTTTTAAATGACATTACCTTATGAAGTAACCTATCAAAATTTATAGTAAGCAAAATCCTAACAATGTGTTTACATGAACTTGAGTGAAAACTTGAATTCCACAAACCCTTACATTTCGAAACAGAAGCCAAAAACCAACGATGTTCAAATTTCATATGAACATGAAATTACTCTAGCAAATAACTCTTCCCAAAAAAAAAAAAAATGTAACTTCATACAAATAACACGTGTTAATATGTAGACAATGAGACTCAATTTCACCTTAAAGTCCTAAGAACCAATATCTTATTCTATCTTCGTAACTTCCAACCGTTTGAGAGAAACGTTCCAATAAAACATCCTAACGATCGATGAAGAAGTCTAACTCTTCTAAATGAAAAAAGTTTATCAAATAGAAGTTTACCAGTGTTTGGGCAACTTGGACAGTTACTAGTTGTCCTTCATTTTTCATGCGCCTTTGTCCATGACTTAACCATTGTAACCGAGCAACTTCGTTTCTATCAAAGCAAATAAACGAAGTAAAATTAAAATACAAAAATGGTATGATAAAATTTTTCTAACTTGCCAATAAAAAGCATAGTTCAATACACCACTTGTTTGGGGATTAAGTACCCTGGACACGTGGAGGACCCCTATTGGTGCTCCAAGATGGCCCATGGGTCATGCCTAGCTCGGATAGCCGAGATGGCTGCCACCAACGCCGGYGAAAGCTAAGTATGAGGGCCGAGGTGAACCTGGCTCAGGTCCGACYTGCCCAGAGGCTCGGTAGGGGCCGATGTGAGCAACTGTCTGCGGCGTGATTACCGGACGTARCCGTTGGTCCCGAGATCACCRGGCGTAACCGACRGTCCCGAGATTACCKGGTGTAACCGTCGCGAGATTGGCGGGACTACCACCCATAAGTAGGGGACCTCACTCCACGATCAGGTACGATGATTTCTGGCTTGGAACTGAACTTGGAATCCGACCTATACTGACTTGATCGTCGGAGTGCTCACCTTTTTGTGCAGGTCCGCCCAAAGGTTCAGATCGGTACGGAGGCCGAGTTCGAGCTACTATCAGGAACACACTGTTGTGCATCTTTGCATAAACACCACTTATACCTCTATTATTTAGATCATAAGTCTGAATATTTTTCAAAAAATTTTGAAAACATGACTTTCTAGCCTTTGTATGACGTTTTCTAAGCAAATAAAATAGTAAACCAATTATGACCCCAAACCATACAAATATTAGTATTAAACTAGCAAACAAATATTAATTCCCTTTCTCTATTTTCTATAGTCTAAGTCCCTTAAGAATAACCGATATTACCAAGTTTTGTTTGCGAAAAATTGAATATCAAATATTTTCTAAACAATTTTCATTGAAGTACAGAAACTTCTAAATAGATAAATATAGATCTTAATGACTTTGAAGACAAAAAAACAACCCAGAAGTTCCAAGAACATAAGAGATTCATTTCCACGTGGTCATATCTATTCATTCTATTGATAAAGCTCTATCCAAGAGGCGAATGTACCTTGATTTAACAAAATTTCTAAAATTTTTCCATGTGAGGAACGTACCTTGATTTTCCTCCATGTTTTTAACAATATTCTGCAGAAAGTTGTTGGTTTAACATACTGACTTGAAATTAGCTAAGAAAATTTGAAGTAATTGTCAACCAAAATCAAGAAACTTACACAAGCAATATAGCGCACAGAAACAACCTATAAATCAGTAGCAATTCAAGTATCATGCAATTACAGCTAAATTCTTGATATATTAGGCTATTTGATTGGTTATTCACCTTGAGAAAACAAAGCAGATCCTTTGGCCCCAAGTTTCACAAGAACTTGCTTGACACCCTGAAATAAGGCATCAACAGAAGAGTTAAAAGCAGATGAAAGGAAGCAATTTGAGATCTGATCATGATCCCTGTCGATGAAGCAGTGATAGATCCTATCAAACTATGAACAACAACAAAGACAACAAAGATTGCATTCATCTATATGTCTTCGATTTGTTAAAGCTAAATAACACAAATTTTATAGAGAGAATTCACCCTAGTTGAAAAACAATGGCATCAAGAAAATATTTCTCTATGGGGTGACTCACCATTTGATTGTATTTTTCCATTGCTTGTCCAATCTGTTCTAAGCTTTTCGTTGGGTATCCCATTAAATGACTTAGCTCACTTTCATTTGGACTAAAAATATCGACATGGTCAAGTAGTTTATGTGGGATAGGAGCCTCGACTCCTCCGGCATCTAAATTTACATGAACCAGCACTCCTAGTAGCCTGCAAATTTTATTTTAAGCAAAAAAATAAAAAACAAAGGATATCTCAAACTGACATTAACTTTTGATCCTAAAACAAATAAAACGTTCATATGTATGCACAGAAAAATGAACATTAAAAGGAGGAAGCAGGAGCGGGGATGGGAGCAGGAGCAGGAGCAAGGAGATTAAAATGCTCTAGGGCCATGTCCAAAATTCTTATAAATTAACCATTG